TATTTTATTTGATTCATGTCAACTTTTCTCATTAATTTATGGTGAAATAAGCCTCTATTTTTAGTAGCATTTAATCGTCAACAAATTATTTATACGTAACATCGTGATTTTCAACCCAATCCAATCTAACACAACTTCCACAATGTCTCTTTGCCTAGCTGTATCAATTTTATTTGCCAAATAAGAGTGGTGTTAAGAGTCATAACCCACACTGTTAATAGTGTCTCTGCGTATTTTACATAATAAATTGTCAACCACAAAAGGGGTAGGCTAAAAGACAAGACCACGTTATAATATTTATTTTATTACAAGAAGAAAGGGGTTCCAAACCATTCCAACTGATATAAGAAACAATAATAATATTGAATAAACTCAAATCGATTAATTTGGATTCATAAAAAATTTTAAAGTAAAATTTTTTTTATTAAGAATGAAAAAAATACATGTTACTTCACATGATAGATAGGCAAAATATATGATTGGGAATCAAGTGCCAAGTACAAACGTGGGCGTGTCCATATAAATGTTTGTAACGCAAATCTATTTAGTTCACTTAATAAATACTTTCTTCTACCAAAGAGGATCATTTATACCATACACAAAATCTACAACCAACAATCCACACTTGGCTAAATCCTTTTAATTTATTTTTTATCTCTTTATTAAAGATCATGTTAATTAGTTTGTGAGAAGAGTTGGTCATTGACCACAAGTTTTCTTTTCCCTATATATTTATGTTTTTCTTTTTTTACGATTCTCTCCGTTCTATATTAGTTGATCATTATACTAAATATAATTGTCTTATATTAATTGATCACCTTACTAATCAAGAAAGCTTAATTAATTTTTTCCTATATTACCCTTTCAATTAATTCTTTTTGTAAGTGTTTACATTTGTTTGTAAAATTTCAAGAAGTTTTTCAAGGGGTAAATTAATAAAGTCATCTTCTTATTTATGATTTCTTAAGCATGGTGCAAAATGAAAAATGATCAACAAATATGAAACGGAGAAAGGAATATTGATTTCATTAATTGTTTTCTCGTAACAGATCCTAACCTCTGTTCCTACCTCTTTGGAGTGTTGGACTACTACTATATTGGAGTAGTAATAAAAGAGGACGTGAAAGACAACAATGCATTAACATATAGAACATCCACTTGCACTAAATTAGGATCGTGATGAAGTCGTAAGTACTTTTTCATTTTTATCAAAAGTTTTAAGTTTGAGTCTCTTAGAGTATGGAGTCGTTTTTATTAGAAAACGGTTTACCCCCTAATATGAACTTTCTAGCACAAATTCAAATTTTAATCGAGTTTCAATATGAATACCAGACACTAAGTGGAAAACTAAAAAAAACCACTTGCATGTCCTCATTTATAAATTGCCTGCAGGCAACCCACTCCTGTCAATCATCTTCCCATGTTGCTTTGCATTGAATTCTTAATAACTTATATACTATCAAATCATTTATTCGTTTCTTTTTACTTATAATATTCAGTATATTAAAAACAAAATTTTCTCTTTACTAGCTCCTTTCTTTAAATTAATAGATTGTATTTTTTTTCATTTTACCCTTATTGTTATGTAATTATTTCTCAAACTGATTTATTTTAATTAAATGCTTAGTAAATATGAATAATTAGTAAAAGGGAAAAGGGTAAAAAGTGCCCTTATACTATATGAAATGATTAAATATGTCATTTATTTATACTTTGGTCCATTTATGCCCTTACTGTTAGTGAAATGGGCCAAAAATACCCTCAGGTATAACTGAGGCAACATCAAATACTTAAACAACTTAATTAATCTTAATTTTTCCACCCTCTTCTCTGTTTTCCCTTGTTTCCAACCAGAATGCCTCCAAATTGACTGGTACCAACAATTTACAAGGGACTACTATTGTCGATAATCTCCGTATAGAAAATTATGATGCAACTGATTACGTTGAAAAAACTACTACTACTGACGATATGTACTTCATGTGTTCAACTTTTAGGTGATCTTCAAGTATAAATGTGAAATATTTGTTTGGTTTGGTTATTTTCTACTAGTAATATTGTTATTTCAAATCAATTAGTCTTAATTTAAGAAATCTATACGAGGGACTAGGGTTTTGAAGGAGGAAAAAATAATAATTTGTGAATGAAATGGAATTGGGTTCATCGGATAAAGAGAAGAGGGTAAGCAAATTAAGACTAATTAAATGGTTTAAGTATTTTCCGTTGCTTCCGTTAAACTTTAGGGCTTTTTTGGTCCATTTCATTAACAGTAAAGGCATAAATGGACCAAAGTATGAACAAATGACATTTTTGATCATTTCATGTAGTACAAGGGCATTTTTGACCCTTTTCCCTTAGTGAAATAAACACTTCATGCTCTTAAGAAGGTGTAAAATGCAAGTAAATAAAAAGTATTTTTAATATAAAAATAATTTAACTTTAAATATCATATTTATTTTATTTTCCGTCCATACAAAATCAATAATTATTCTAAACGAGAAACTTCAAATGTTTTTTTATTTTAAAAAAAATTGTGTTCAATAAAACACCGCAATATTTAGAGGAGTAAAAAGAAAATAAATAAATATTTTTTTGTAAGTTTATTTAAGATGTAATCAATTGCCCCTTTTTTGGTTTTCTATCACAAGGTTTAGAAACATTAGAGAAGGACTAATTCATGTGCCTTTTTCTTTCTATGTTTTACTTTTTTTAAGATGCCATGTGCCATAAAACTTTATGTTAATTTAGTAAATATCCATTAGTACCTGTCACTCGACGAATGATTAATTAGCCTTCATCCAAATTTTCTAGCTCATTAAGAAAACAATTAATTAAGGAGCTTAATTAACTAATTCAAATTAAGGTGCTTATATAAAATGATAATATAGTTTAGCTCAAACAACACCTCTTAATTATTAGCTAACACACACGCCACACCTTCATACATGGGGAGCATGTCATGGACAATTGGACATGGAGAATATATAATTAATAAACTAATTATTTGTAATCAAAAGTGAATCTAGTAATTTTCAACTTTATGAGTTTTGAATTATACCATGACGATTTTAAGTGATAATAATTGAATTCTAAATTAAATATTCATACATAACATCATATTTTTTTGAATTTTATTGAACTCGCATGCGGACTACTAGCTCCGCTCCGCTTGCAATTATATTTAAAATCTATTCTCATGATATCCAACTAAGTTATTGTACTTATATCGTGTCATAAGTCATGAGGCCTCCTAAGTGATGAGGTAAATCTTTTGATTTTCTACTTTTACTTTACAACTAAATAACCACACTTGTTGCGTCATATTATTCTTTTTGGTGAAATTTGTTGTAAACTTGTTTCACACCTTTATCTTTTATTGTTCTTTTGACGTCCCCTTTAATCAAACTTGTACTGAAGAATATAATGAACTTTTTACGCTTTCTTTATCCTCATCAAAATATTGTTCTTTGTTGTCATATTTACAATTTTGTAGATTTTTAGTAGCAATTAACAGTCTTTGTAAATATCCCTAGAGCCTATAGCGACATTTGATCCAATCACAATTAAATAATGTCAGTAAATTAAAGGTCTTAGCTCTCTTTATTAATATGTATATTTATTGCCGCTAAAATTTATTTTTATTGTAGTGTTAGCCGAAGTTGGTATGTGCATTCAACTGAAGTTAACTTAATTCTAGAGCAATTATATAATACACAGATGCTATGCTTTTTATAGAAGTAAACATAACTAAAAAAATATATATTTAAAAATAATGTAAAAAGAAAAGGGCATGCAGTTTAAGTTAAAAAGTCGGCATTTTATTGTGGAAATTTGATGTTTGATTGGTGCACCAATATTTTGTTTAAAGCAAAAAAAAAAAAAAAGAGATTAAAAAAAATTATTTTGCCACATCAGAGACTTGATTTAGAAGTTAAGAACCACTAAGTAGTAGTAATGGGCCACTTTTAGTCACTGTTTGGAAATGGTTTAAACTGCAAGGATACCAAATATGATTCTTCTTTTAGAATGACAAGAAATCACATTTTTATTGTTGTTCTAGAAGGAGATCATGCTTAATTATTCACATTAAAAGTAATTATCATGTCATTACCAACACTTTAATCCCTTTTTTCTTCAAATATGTTCTTGTCTCCATTTCAATAATTAATTTGGCTGTTAAGGCGTTAACCACTTTTTTCCTTTGAAATTAAGCTTGAAAGACTAAACTATTGTGTAAAAATACATGTTTTTTTTAAGCTTCTGAATGTGTAGAAGTTAAAACTCATTTTAATATTATCGTGGCATGTCCCATGGCGGCAACCCAATTGGTGAAGTAATTGTAGTCTTTCAAAGTACTCAACCTGCCATGGTAGGGTGACAATTGGGTGGGTTGAGTCAAATTTGAACAGGTCATAATGAATTAAGACAACAATCGAGTCAAGACCCAATTCAGTCTAAATTTGTTTGGGTCAAAAATGGGTTAGGTAAAGGATTACATTACGGGTCAAGACCCAACTCAACTCATTTTTACTAAGCTTAATTGTTTCATTTGTTCTTTTAAACTATTTTAGTACCTAATAAAATTATATATTTTTTCTTTATTATGACTTTATACAACATATTAAATTGAAAAAAAGTTTTAAAAAAATATTTTGACAAGATTTTTCATGAGTCAATTCGAATTACAAATCAACCCAATTTTTAATGAATTGAAAGATGTTGAGCTAATGAATTAGCGGGTCAATAACCCGTCCAATCTTACCCTACTGTATGGCCACAAGCATTTAGCCACGTTTTTGAATTTCCGTTAAAGTAAACGAAACCTTTTAAAGAGAAAAGTGAGGCCACCTAAGCTCTACCTAACTAATTTGGAGTCTTTGGACATTCACCCTAATAGTATTGTATATATGTACTCCTTCCTCTGTTGCAGCTCCAAAACAAACCACAAACATTACACTTTGTAAAATTCTTTCATTTACAACCAATTTTCTTCTTCTGAAATGGATTGGAGTAGAGGCCATACCATAGGCCATGGATCCACAGCCGCTGTCTCCGTTGCTAAGTCACATTTCTCCGATGAGGTCTTCGCTGTCAAGTCAGTGGAGCTATCCCAGTCACAGTTATTACAAAAGGAGCAGAAAATTCTGTCCCAATTGAGCTCCTCTTATGTAGTTAGCTACAAGGGGTATGATGTTACAAAAGAGAATGACAAACTTATCTTTAATCTTATGATGGAGTATATGCCGGATGGTACACTTTCCGATGAAATTCGGAAGCAGGGTGGTCGGATCAATGAGCCGTTGATCGGGTATTATATCAAGCAAATTTTAAAAGGACTAGAATACCTACATTCAGGTGGCATAGCACATTGTGATATTAAGGGGCAGAATATTTTGTTAGGTAAAACCGGTGCCAAAATTGCTGATTTTGGGTGTGCCAGGTGGATTGATCCGGCAGAGAGGGATGGCGGCGGAGAGCCAATTGGAGGAACACCGATGTTCATGGCACCAGAGGTGGCGCGTGGGGAAGAACAGGGGTGTCCAGCAGATATTTGGGGATTGGGATGTACAATTATTGAAATGGTCACTGGTGGATCACCATGGACTAATGTGACAAATGCAGCTTCATTGCTTTACAAAATTGCATTTTCAGGGCAATCCCCTGAAATCCCAAAATTCTTGTCCTTACAAGCAAGGGATTTCTTAAGCAAATGCTTAAGAAGAGATCCAAAAGAAAGATGGACAGCTAAACAACTTCTCAAACATACATTTCTTGAAGAATTCAATTTGAATTCGAATTCAAATCAGAATTTTGTGACGAGTTCTCCAACAAGCATTCTTGATCAAGACATATGGAATTCCGTGGAGGAATCAGAAACTACGATATTACAAACAGTTAGCTCTCCCCTGCAAAGGGTAAGAGAATTGTGTTCGAATTCAGGAGAATTAAATTGGAGATGGAATGATGATGAGAGATGGATCACAATTAGAAGCAGCAACAGATGAAACAATTACAGTGAACAAACTCATGCCGTACAATACAACAGAAGGCGATGGAGAAAGTGACACATTGAGGAAGAATTGAAAATTCGGGGCAGAGAATGGTTTGCAAATTCACTATTAAGGGAAGGTCGACCCGAATTCAGTGGAGATAGGACCATTAAAAGTGACACTTCTCCCTTCTCATGATGATTAACGATCATTTTTGAGTTTAACTAATATGCACTGAAAATGTAAATTGCAAAATGCTTTCATATTTGTATGACCATTTTTGAAAATAACCAAACTTGAAAGTCAACAATTGTTCTTTATCGTAACGGATAAATAGTTAAGAAAAGGGTCTTAAACCTCAAATTAAAAATAAAACAATTTTTTTATTGAATAGACATTAGATTTGGGGGTCTGGCGCACCTAACCCCACCACATCTTCATAGAAAAAAAAAAAAGGTCCCATAAAGAGGACTGGGAACCTAAATAAGCCACAAAAACATAAAAGTGACCAAAATAAGCCACTATTTTAGTAAGTAACTAAAATAGGCTTAGTGGAAGAAAAAATTCCACTTTATCTAATATTATAAACGTTTTCCGTTAGTCTCATATCGTGTATATTTTAATATATAACGGAATTATTTTCTACACTTTATAAAATTGAACTATTTCTACACTTTATAAAGTGGAATTTTTTCTTACACTTTATAAAGTGGAAGAAAATCTTACACTTTACAAAGTGGAAGAGAAAATTTCACTTTACAAAGAGGAATATTTTCACGTTCTTATCTCTTTTGCAGTGTTTGTCATACAATTATATTGATTTGACATATCATAAAAACGGAAAAAATTATTACACTATGTATTTTTATTTTTTTATTCTGAAAAATCCTCCAATCTCTATTTAAGGAGGACGTTCAAACATTAACTGGTAGCACCTACAACATACTTTCTATATTTGTTCATTTCAATCTCAAAAAAAAAAATGTCTTCTAAACCAAAAGTTAGAGTTTTGATTTATTGGGATGGCGAAATTATACATGATGAAAATACCGTTTATTATAATTGTCCTCCCAAACACAATGCTAAATATTCAATTAATGTCCGATATCATAAATTTCTTTCATCAATTTATAAAAGAATGGGTATAAACAGTACTATTTATAATTTGATTATAGTCGTAAAATACCCTACTTCATTTTTATCACAAGGACAAGTAAATTTTGGAGAGTGGATTATCTATAATGACGAATCGTTGACCAACTTTTTGAGGGTTCCAGATGACTACATAGATCAAATGAAGTTAACAATACTTGAAACCTATGTTAGGAAGGAGCCTAAGATTAGTCAACAACGTTCTCCTTTATCGGTCGATGTCCATCCACTTTATAAAAAGTGCAATAAAAAGTTCCACTTTATAAAGTGTAAGAAAAAGTTCCACTTTATAAAGTGTAAGAAATAGTTCCATTTTATAAAGTGTAGAAAATAATTTCGTTATATATTAAAATATACACGTTAGGAGACTAACGGAAAACGTTTAGAATATTAGATAAAGTGGAATTTTTTCTTCCACTAAGCCTATTTTAGTTACTTACTAAAGTAGTGGCTTATTTTGGTCACTTTTATATTTTTGTGGCTTATTTAGGTTCCCAGTCCCCATAAAGATTGTCTATAAGATTTCTTGGGGCAACTATATATTATGTTACCACTAAATTATTTAAACTGTCTGGCAAGATGTTATAATCACACTGAAGATCCTTAAAGAGTTTACAATCTAATCCTTAATAGCTATTTTTCAACATAATTTCAAAAATTCATATGTAAACTTACAACAATAATATTATACTTAGCAATAAATTTTTGTTAGAGGAGCAAAATAACGACAAACCAACAACGAAATTCATAGCTAATTTCAATTTTTTAAAGTAGTGCCTCAATAGACTCTCAATTCAACTCCAAAGCAAACTTCAATTGGAGAAATGACTTCGTTAAATGTCAAATACTTCTCCTATAAAAAGAAGTGGAAAAGTACATATGTCAAAGGCTGACCAAATTCAAAGTCCATTAAAAGGGGAAATACCTAATAACAAAAAGTAAGAAAGCAACATGTGTATAAAATACCACAAAATAAGTCCTAATTTAATCGTCAACAAATTATCTGTACGCAAAATCAAAAGTTTTAACCCAATCCAATCTACCCATACCCAACTTCCACACGTATGACTCGACCGGAATTGGTGTAGTGGTGAGACCATTTCACCCTTAATTAGAGATCTCGAATTTAAGCCCTAGATATGATTTTTTTTTTGTTAGGAGCGTCACCCCAAAATTAATCCTACAATGTGCCATTTGAATTTAATCGGAATTTCTAGGCTGACTTCAAATACCGAGTAAGGAAATTTACACGTATGCTGTTTGCCAACTTAAAATATAATTTGGTAGCTGTGTCTATTTTATTTGCCAAATAACAGTGATGTTAGAGTCATTGCCCACATAATTGTCAACCACACAATGACTAAGCTAAAGACAAGACCACGTTACATATTAGTACAACAGGAAAAGGTTTCTAAACCTTTCTAAGTGATATAAGGAAAAAAAAAATGAATGGCTAAATATATTCCTTAAATCGTTATGAAAATTGATTAATGTAAATTCACGTAAACAAGATCACTATGAAAGGAGGAGAGCGAGACAATTACTCTCTCCAAAGATTACTATAATCTTAAAGCTCGTAGCTCAAAACTCTAACGAAGAATGAAAAAGTATTTATTACTTCACCCCCTCCCCTCGTCATATGATTGGGAATTAAGTGCAAGTACAAACGTGAGTACATGCCCAACTAAATGTCTAGCTGTCCCTGTAACGCAAATTTAGTTTGTCCACTTAATAAATGCATTCTGCTACAAAGTGGGATCATTTATAAATCATACCACACACAAAATCTCTAATTAACAATCCACACTTGGCTGTGTGGCTGAATCTTTTTTCAAAATAATATTTTTTATATGTTCAAATAAAGATCATGAAAGCCAACAATAAAACAACACAACACCCACTTGCACGTCATCAATTACAATTGCTTGCAGGCAACCAAATCCTGTCTATCATCTTCCCATGTTGCATTGCACTTAATTTCTATATCCTCACATGATAAAATAAAATAATTCTATGCAAAACTAAGCAAAACATGCATAATTAAATGGATTGTGGTATAATAATAAATACTTTTTCATACTTAATCTGAGTTCTCCAATTCGATTCGGGTCCCCTTGAGTATGTATTTGCTTTTGTTAGGGAGCGTTTTACCATTAATGTAACACTTTTCAGTGCGAATTTAAATTTAGTCTGACTTCAATACGAATACTGGACAACAGATAAAAAATAATAATAATAAAAAGGACATTCAAAATTTAGCAAATAGTAAACTTTAGTAAGAAAGAGCGTAAAATGCAACAGGACAAATAAAAGAGATAGAATAATTTATTTTTTATGAGATAATTTGTAATCATACGAATATTTAAAATAAGGTCTTTTTTTGTCGTATCAATACCACCACGTAAATTAGGAGGGGGGAGTAAGTTTTTTTACGTGAGAAACTCAAATTCAGCAAAAGAAAAGAAAATAATAATTGTGTAAGTTTACTTATTTAAGAAGTAATCAATTTCCCCCTTTTTGGTTCTTTTTCAGACAATTCATTTCCATACAAAATAAACTGTGTTAATTTTGTAAATATCCATTAAACATTTGTCACTCGACGAATGATTAATTAGCCTTATCCAACTTTCCTCATTAAGAAAATAAGTAATTAAGGAGCTTAACTAGTTCAAATTAAAGCTGCTTAAATTGAAAATACCGTTTAGCTGAAATAACACCTCTTAAGTCATTAGCTAATTGACACGCCACGCCTCATAGCATGGAGATGGGAGTATAATTAAATGCTTGGAGTAATATTGAAAATATATTCATCCGTTTCATATTACTTTGACCTATGTTAATATGGTATATCCTCTAAAAAAGATTTTGATTAAAGGTTTATTTATCAAATTAATCTTATTAATGATATTTTAAAATTTTAAATTTGACTATTACTACTTTATGTAATTATTTAATATTAAGTGGAACATGATTTTTAAATCTTTTTATTTTGTTGCTAAAATGAACAAATAAAAAAAAAATTATTTTTAATAAATGAGTCAAGTAAAATGAAACGGATCAGGAATACATTCTTAATTTGGATGTCTAAAGTAGCCAACTTCCTTAATGCATAACCAGTTGGACATGACATTTAATCTGTAGATTCTTTTTGGACAAAGGGGTTATAATAGTGTATAGATGCTATGCTTCTCATATAAGTAAACATATCACATTTATATTATTTTTTTTTAGAAAAAGAGATGTTCAAGTACAAAATTGTTTCTAGTAAAAAGTTAAAAAGTTGGCATCTGATGGAATCTTGTGGAAATTTAAAAACTAGTTTGTCACATTGGAGAATTATAAGATACTTGATTTATAAGTTAAGAAGCACTACTTGTAATAGGCCACTTTAGTCATTGTTGTGAGGATTGTTTAAACCTCAAGGATTCCAAGTATGATTCTTACTTTAGCATGATGAGAAAGAAATTTTATGTTGTTCTCACCAACAAATTCACCAAATATTTCCATTTAATAAATTAATTGGTCGTTAGCTAACCAATTTTTCACCTTTGAAATCTCTTTGTTGTTGAAAGACTATAGTATTCGCGAAATATTATTTATTTGATTGACCTTATGCTTGTTTTATTTGAGTAAGTTAAAAATCTATTTATGCTCAAATTTCTGTTGAATTCAATGCCCTATATCTCAAAAAGTGGAATATGGAAGGAATTGAGTAGATGGTGGTTCAAACAATTCACTTGTTTTATTTGAGTAAGTTAAAAATCTATTTATGCTCAAATTTCTGTTGAATTCAATGCCCTATATCTCAAAAAGTGGAATATGGAAGGAATTGAGTAGATGGTGGTTCAAACAACTCTTATGAAAAGATACTTACCAAACACTTTCCCTAACTCCCAAATTTAATCTTTTAAGTCATTATATCTATCCCATCCTATTTTCTAACATCTATGTCTTTCTAATTATTACTCCCTCCGTCCAATAATAGTTGTCCATTATATTTGTTTATTTTATGAAATCAATAAATAATTTTACACTTAGTTCCTAATTTATCCTTATCATTAATTATAGTCATTTCCGTATTGCATTTTTCAAGGCATGATATTTAATATATTCAAAAGGTGAAATAGTAAAATTATCCTTTTATTTGTAGTTTCTTAAAAAGTGTGCAAATCAATAGTGGATAAATATTGTTGAACAGATAAAGAATATTGCAAGTGTATGCTAAATACGTACAAGTCTTTAGTTGAGTTATCCAAATGAAATATACGAACAACTTTTAAGCAGAAGTTTATGACTTAAGCTCATCTTGATATTACCATTGTATGCCACATGGCAACAACCCAATTGGTGAAGTAATTGTAGTCCTCCAAACTATTGAAGCTGCCGTATGGCCACAAGCATTTAGCCACGTTGTGAATTTCCGTTAAAGCAATCGTCAACCTTTTAAAGAGAAAAAAGTGAGGCCACCTAAGCTCTACCCAACTAATTTGGACATTCACCCTCTCCATTATATATATATATATATATATACACACACACAAATCAAGTGCCATTTTCAAAACAAACCAAAAAACACAACTCTTTCTAAAATTCTTACACTTGCAACCAATTTTCTTCTTTTCAAATGGATTGGATCAGAGGACATACCATAGGCCACGGATCCTCTGCTGCGGTCTCCGTTGCCAAGTCACGTTTCTCCGATGAAGTCTTCGCTGTTAAGTCAGTGGAGCTATCCGAGTCGCAGTTATTACAAAAAGAGCAGATAATTCTGTCCCAATTGAGCTCCTCTTACGTAGTTAGCTACAAGGGCTACGATGTTACGAAAGAGAAGGACAAACTCATGTTTAATCTTATGATGGAGTATATGCCGGACGGTACACTTTCCGATGAAATTCAGAAACAGGGTGGTAGGATGAACGAGCGGTTGATCGGGTATTACACGAAGCAAATTGTACAAGGACTAGACTACCTACATTCAAGGAGCATAGCACACTGTGACTTAAAGGGGCAGAACATTTTGGTAGGTAAAACCGGTGCCAAAATTGCTGATTTTGGTTGTGCCAGGTGGATTGATCCGGTGGAGAGGGAAGGTAACGCAGAGCCAATTGGAGGAACGCCGATGTTTATGGCACCAGAGGTGGCGCGTGGGGAAGAACAGGGGTGTCCAGCAGATATTTGGGGATTGGGATGTACAATTATTGAAATGGCCACTGGTGGATCGCCATGGACTAATGTGACAAGCGCAGCGTCATTACTTTACAGAATTGCATTTTCAGGGCAATCACCTGTAATTCCAAAGTTCCTCTCTTTACAAGCAAAGGATTTTTTAAACAAATGCTTGATAAGAGATTCTAAAGAAAGATGGACAGCTAAACAACTTCTCAAACATCCATTTCTCGAGTCAAATTCCACGGCAATTCAAAATTTTGTCACAGACTCACCAACAAGCATTCTCGATCAAGACATATGGAATTCAGTAGAGGAATCAGAAACCATGAATTCTACAATATTACAAACATTTAGCTCTCCTCTGAAAAGGGTAAGTAAATTGAACCAGAAATCAGGTAAACCAAACTGGTGCTGGGCTGATGAGATTTGGACCACAGTTAGAAAAACCAGTGAAGGAGATTGTACAATGACAGCTTTTTCTGAAATGGAGCTGGAAAGCTGTATTGGTAGTAAGGAGTTAGAAATAAATTACTTTTGCTGTAACAGAGTAGTACGAAACAACTCTGTAATTAACAGTCTCAATTTTCCGAGGCATTCAGTAAATAAAATTCATTCTTCATAAATTAGTCATTCTTTTTACTAACGGATCTTTCGGAAAAAGGCCTGTCTACCTCCACGAGATAGTGGCAAGTTTACGTATACTCTATTCTTTTCAAAATCATACTTTGTAGCGTAATTTTTTTTTCCTTGTCGGTGTGCAAAGGTTAAAAATAATGGATGATGGGACATAACCAATTGCTAAGGCGGGTAGAGCACAGCTGTTAGGAAATGAGAAAAGATTTGTTAATAGTTTATTAAATCTCACTAAAAATGACGAGTCATAGGTACATAAAGGATCTTGTTAAGATTTAATGAACTTTTTGTTTAACAATAATAATATATTCAGTGTATTTAACTATTTATACATGATTTAATATATTTCTTTAAAAATATTCATGTAAAAATAGTTTTCGTGAAAATTGTGCTACTTACTTTAGAGGAAAGAAAAATTAACTACGCTCATCAATAGCACAAGTCATTGCTAACCAAGTGGTGTGAAATGTTAAGGCATACAAAAATCTTTTGTCATACCAAATGTGTTAGTTACAACATATTCAGTGTAATTTCATAAATATGGTATGAGGAGTCAGGGTGATGCATGTGTAAGAAGCCTTTATCTTATGTTGTGGAGGTAGAGATGATATTTCCGATAGATCTTTGATTCAAGTAAAACATACAAAGAGTCAACTATGTAAAGGAAATACAATAGTGAAAACTCATGCTAAAACTAATGAAAACAGAGAACAATAACACAACAAATAATATGAAAATCTTAACAATGAAAACAAGTCATACCAAATGTATCCCAATTGGAAATTAAATTGAAGGGAAATAAAAACAAGGCCTAGTAGACTTTGAACTTAATTTGTTAGGTAACCCCATGATGTCTATTTCTTTTTTTCAAGGGTGTTAGGAGAGGAATGAGTGTCACGTTGGACATGAAGTGAAGAGGAGACTTTTTACTTCTTACAAATTAAAAAAAGGTTCAAATGCTTTTTGTTGGGCTATCTCAACTCTAAACCTAACTAACTCGGACGAAAGTTATAAATGAAAAATTTAACAAAAAAAACACCCTTTGCAATACTTTGACTCTACTGTCTATCCATCTTTATTATATTATATAGTATATATTTTCACAGTAGTCAGTCAAAAGATATACTATTTGGAAGGAAAACTGAATATTGATCATTGCCTTAACCTGCTAAAGTTATGTCATATTTTTCTAACAAAATTTACAGTTGACCAAAACTATCTAATCTACTTTTTGAATTAGATGTTTGAGATTGAAAAATCGAAAGTTTAACAGCACGGTTTGTAATTCCTTCTTCTTGATGTCCCATGTTGGTGTTATTTGAAGCATTCAATTGCATGTTTTGTCTTTTAAATGAATTAATTGAACTTATGTCTACTGGGGCATAACTTGTGGAACATTATGATACGAAAATATAAACTTATGTCCTACAAAAATGTTGTTTGCCCTAAGAGGCAAACATTATAGACCAACACAAAATAGAGACAAAGAGCAAATGACAATTACAACTCAATATCTTTGGGTCATCTAATTTACCAAATATGTACACAATGAATAGGTAATGCATATTTGATACTAATATACATATATTATACATAAATTTACATATCTATACATATATATACCTACACATATGTATACACAACATATACAACCAAATATTTATGTAGAGTATACTTCAGTCATATTTGGTAAATTAGATGATCAAATAGTATATAATTGGTAACTATCCCATTGAAATACTGCCTCATATATACTAGCTCATACTGGGCCAAGTCAGTGTTGTTGGGGTCTATTTGGTACATCACAACAACCTAATTTAAAAGAGCAACTTTCACATATAACAAACACAAAAATCATATTTGTATGCTATAGATATAGTTTGCATAATTGCGCTCCATAACAAACATAAATATGTATATTTCGCTATACATATACAAAAGAAAACAATTGTATATAATCTGTTTCTGTTTCGATATACATATACAAAAGATCAATTGTTTAATCTGGGTTTGTATAAAGTGAGAAAGAGAGAAAGGCAAAAGAGAACTGGGTAGGGGAATATTGGGGAATATTTGTATTGTATAATTATAAGTGTATAGGACGAAGATATGTATTTGCATGTGTATATACAATTTTCTCTCGCTTTATATAAACAGAAACACAATTTATATATTTCTGTTTGTATAAGCGAGAGAGGCGAGGGAGAGATTGGTGAGCGAGATCTGAGAGAGTGGCGAGCGAGATCTGGGAGAGGGGAGAGAGGAAAACGAAAGTATATGTATATATACAATTTTCTCTCGCTTTATACAAACACAAATGCATTTTATACATTTGCATTTGTATAAAAAGCGAGAGAGGCGAGGGAGAGAACGAGAGTGGTGAGCGAGATTCACCATGAGAGAGGTGAAATATCAACAGTTTGCTATGGGGTACAATTAAATCAAACTATCTTTATAGCATTTAATTTGAATTAATAGTTTGCTATTATATACAATTTTTCCAATTTAAAATGAGAAAACTATACAAAATGGACCCAATTGTAAAACTATTTATCTAAAATGGATCCAATTTAAACTATTTAACTTTAATGGATTCATGACCCAAATTATTTACCTGCTTACCCCACTTTAGGGGACTCTTTTTATAAGAAATAAATAAGAAACAATTAAGAGAAAATTATCGAAGTCACAATCTTATTTATTTAATAATATGTAGATATACCATAATGATATCATAGATGATTGAGTAACCTCATCAAAGGACTGAAACAAACCTCAATGAAAACAATGTTCAGTTACTCATTGATACCACTAGAGTATGTTCAAGGAGGAAGAAGCAGTCCCTCAATGAAGACACTGCTCAGTTACTCGTTGATACCATCAGAATATATTCATATAATGTAATATATGATGGTATCAGAGAGCAAAAAAGGGTGGACACTGGCGTCAGCATGACGTCAGCACACAAATAAAAATAGATATATGCCACTTTAAAATAAAAATGGGGTATGAAAGTAATGAGGCATTTAAGGGTAAATATTTTAAGGGAGGTTTCACGGACCGTTTAAGGCTCAACGGTCCGTGAAACACTTCACCGGCCATATAACTGGTTGTGGAGCTTCACCTACCCGACAGGTTTTCACTAAAATAGGCATAACATTTTAATCCAAACTCGAAATGTGGCAAACTTGGTAGCATTAGAAAGCGGATTCAAAGACCTTTAATTTGGTAGGTCATTGGCCACCTAGTTCATTATGTGCTGAGATATATGATTGTTTGAAGTTGACCCAAAAAATAAAAATTGATGGGTGACTTGTACGGACCCCTAAACGGATCGGACAAGCAACCACGGGTCCTCTAGGGTCCCGTCCAGGTGACCCCCACCTTGGCAGCCTTAGATGGTTGGCCACCATGCCCTAAACAGGTCGTGGACCCCTAAACGGACCGTTTAGGGTGTCGTGAAGGGTCCATGGTCCATGTTTTATTTAAAAATATATTTTAGACTGATTTTAGAGTCGCCACTTAATTTTAGAGTAAAATTAAGAAAATCGTTGTTTTCAAAAAACTAAAACAGAAAATCTAATGAAAACTTAAAAGGGGTTCGGGGTTCTTATTAGCATTTCGAAAAGGGTTTTAAAGCACCCAAAATACCCGCTAATACGCGGTTATCCGGCAATTAATTTTTTTGGCTAAAATAATTTTAACTTAGCTTGAACCGCAAAATCGAACTATTTTATAGCTAAGACCATTTTAAGGGAGAAACAGAAAAATGTCGCAATATTATTTAAATGAAGTATTTTGTAAACTTATATATTTATTTATTTTTAAGTCAAGTAAGAAACGGCTAATTTAGTTAAGTGATTAATTCAAAATGAGTGTCTTCTGGGGGTTTGAATGTTCGAAACCTTAAAATCGATAACAAATCAACAAACATAATAAATAAAGAAAGAGAGACTCGGACCCAAGTCTGATTTTCCTGTCCACCTGGGCCAGTACTTGGGCCTATTTTTGCTTTGGACCTTTGGCCCATTTAAATCACTGGTACCTGTCCTAGTCTAGCATAAAATATATATCTTTCTTTTGGTCCTTAGGTCAAATTCCTCCATCTGTCCAAAGAACTAGCAAGTAAAAGCAAATAAGTGGGCTTAGACCCAAAATAACAAAATACAATATTTTGTAATAAAGAGTGGGCCTTTGGCCCAATCTTTTCAATTTTTTCGATCTGCTGCAGATCCTTTCAACTCCGGGACCTGTTCGTCAATTTTAGCGGGCCGGCTGACTCGAAAAAGATGGTTTGAGCCTTTATGGCTCTTCCAAAATGCAAGGAGATAGGAGTTCATAGTAAACTCGAGCAGATTGCACATGCAAAGAAAAGATAGAATGTAAGTAGCCGCTCATTTATTTAATACGGATAAATATCAAACAAAACAAAATCAGTCTACCACTGTTCTCAGTCTTATTGTTGTTATAATTATTTTTTGAGCACTCGAAAGAAGGGTTTACAAACCATATTCCAATGTAAAGGATTTAATGACTTTAAGCGAATATCGACTATAGCCAGACATTAAACAGAGACAATTCCAAGAATAAACAATTTACCATGACTCCCGAGTTTTTCAAAGCATAAGCTACGTCGTATCTTATTGGCGAATAAAAGGTGGATAAGAAAAATCGAAACTTTGAAAGTTGAAACATAATGAACAAATACCAATTTACAATAACTCAAAAGTGACAGAAGTGAAGGAATTTTCTTTCTAACCTTCAGTGGATGACAATTGATGAAAAAATAAATGAAGCTTATATTATTATTATATTTTTATAATTGAGGAAGATGACAACAAAAATCCTACTAAGTATATTAACCAAGGACCAAATCAGCACGTAATACTAGTGGGGAATCACACACACAAAAAAAATAAATAAATAATAACTAAACAAATAAATAAAAAAAAAGACATGAACGAGAGGGACTTTGAGTACCATGATTGACACACACTCCTCTAATGGACAAGGCAGAACAAAACAGAGACAATAGCAAAAATTTCCGGAGAACAACGCCTTCAAACTGGACTTAAACAACATATAAACAAGAAGAAGCAAGATCCAATAAACGGAAACAGAGGAATCAATCATGCTGTAAGGCAAACAATACAAAAACTAGATTCCATTTATCCGTCCAAACTATTGTTTTAAAACTCGAAAATAGATTCTAGAAAAAAAGAGGAACAGATCTTGACACCTTCAAAAACATGTGACGAATAAATCGCACCATCTCGATAGGATATGACCAGAGCGATATCGATGCGGCCAATAAGTAAAGGAATTAAACATAAAGCAAATACAACAACTCTACATCTGAAACATTATCAATAGGTAAGACAGACTCAAATGGATATTGAGACGATTCGAAAACGAAGCACATATTCGATCTCGGAGAAATAAGATGAAGATTACATACCACATCTAACCTCAAACACCTCGTATGAGCACGAATCGATTAACACACAGAACACAACTCGAGTCTGAGTCTTTACTGAAAGTAGTCGAAGAAAAGAGTTGAGAGTTGTATACCTTTTGTCGGGCAGCGAACAAGGACGAGGCGAGATAACCACGAGGAGCTTCCACCACTACACAAAGACTTCGAGAATTCTTTGAATACTCCAGCAACCAGCGCACACGGAAAGGAAAAGGAATGTGAGGAGTATTTCTTATATAATTTTGTAGCTTTGGAATCGTCTCCTCTGTAAACTCTCACCGATTTTTCCCAAACTTTTCAACTTTTTTCTCTGCCTTAGTCTAGAATTTTCAACTTCATCCCAAATCCCCCTTTCAAATTTTCTTCCCCCCTTTCAGCAGTGACTAAGAGGGAATATATAGGGGATTTTTAGGGTTCCCAAATGGGGGGAAAACGGGCAGAAATCCATAAGAAAGGGACCAATTCGAAATTCAAAACTCCCCAAAAACGTTCACAATTTGGGTGAGGCACCTTTTTTCTTGCGATTTCAACCCATTCCGGAAGAGGAAAGGGGAGAAATCGCGTGCCTGCTGCCTGCTGCTGCGATATTAATGCAGATAGGGACGGGAGACGACAAAATTGCAGCGTCCTCTCTCTGTTCCTCGCTGCTTTCCTCACTGCTGTGTGTTAGCGTTTTGGACTGTTTCCGGGTCTTGTACGCTGTGATGTTCACGTTGAATTTAAAAGGGGAAAAGGGTTTGGGTCGGGTCAGGGGAACGGACTGGGTTGGGGCTAAGATGTGGGCTGTGGCGCTGGGAGTAATTGCTAGGTATGGGCTGCTGTTTGGTATTTGAATTGGTGGACTGGGAAAGGTTGAAAAAAAAGAAGGGAAAATTGTGCAGGTTTTGGTATTAAGAAATGGGTTGCTGTACGTTATTGTTGGTTGAAAGAATTGGCAAATGTTGATGGGTCTTTGTGGGCCGGTTTTGGTATTAAGCAGCGGCCCAAAATGGGTTTAAGGTAAGGTAAGTTAGATTGGAATTAGGAAATAGTTTTACAAATTGCGAATTCGGTCAAACTAATTAAGAATTTAGTCAAAATTGGATGGATACTCGTGAATTCGGTTAAAAACTAAATAAGACAAATTAATATTAATTAATTAACGAGCTTTTTAATCTTAACGATATAAAATAATTAAATCAATTGTAAATTAATGATTCAAAATTATAACCATAATTTAAACTAAACTAATTTAATAAAATACTTACTAAAATTAAAATCTTTTTGAAATGATTTTCGAAATGTTTATAAAATATACTAATTATATATAAAATTACATGAAATATATTTATCATTCAAAATACTATAAAAATAGACTGAAATTATTTAACAGAACCTTGAAACTATTTTGAATTATATAAAGCTAATTATTTTAATTCGTTTAAAAAATTAAGAAGCTCGGGAATTAATTACTATCGGAGAGGGTCAAAATTGGGCGTCAACAGTCCACTTTGGGATTGTGGACTTGTCTGTTACTGCTCTTTAGCCATATTTTTGAAGTCTGAGGTGTTACATGAACGATTCAAATTTTAAGAGTAGAGTTGCAAGGTGTTATAAAATGATTCGGGTCGTAGCTTAGAAATTTTTGAGATGTTACAGAATTTGACCAAGTAAATCCCACTACAAAAGTAATCACAATTATAAACAAAAAAAAAATCGGTGGTAAATTAATCAAAGTGGTTGGTAGATTGAGTTATCAACCAATACCAACTGATATTAATTTGTTGCTAAAAGGCTTGTTGGCTTAAAAATGTTTTATTTGTTTAACAATAGAGACAATTTTTTAACCAAATTATTAACAACGAACATTTTTGGAAGTGGGAAGTTTATTTATTTTTTCTTCTTAATTTCTTTTTATCAATAACAAAAGAAAGACTTTAAAGTAAATGCACAAGAGAAAAGTATTTAGAGAGACATTGATATATTGCTCAACTTCAACGTGATGTATAAATGAACAAAAATGACTTTTTATTTATAGAAGAACAAAAGTTGCATGCAATGTTCCTTATAAGAAACTCCTTGCAGAGCTACTTATAGAAACCTATTTACAAAGCTGCTTATTGGAATAACAAATAAACATCCACAATTAAGTGTGAAAGACATATAAGCATTCTAGAGGATTACAATTCCTTTATTTTGTCCTCTAATTTGCTTTCATACTTTAATTGGATCAACAAGCACCATAGAAATGACGTCTTTTAAGTTATTTTTGGAAAAAGTATAAGCATCTTCATCTTTATAGAAGAACTCTGACACCCTAGCAAGGTTAAGCAGTGGCATGAGAAGGACTCTTGATACTGTTGTTGATTTTAGGCATCGTTGATTCAAATCCTTCCAATTATTCTCTATTATTTTCCTTATCTCCATGTACGCTTCTTCCTTTGTGGCATCATAATCATTCATGTAACAATCAATACCTGAAGCTACATCTCCTCTTTCTATTTCTCTCTGCGTATCACATGAGCAACAACCATTAGACTAACAAGTACACAAGAGACGAGATCGCAAGAGAAATAAAAAGATCAAAAATAACAATAATATTTCCAATGTGTTTCCATAAATAAAGCCTAAAAAGTTCAGATGAATTGACTGTACACAGATCTTACCCTTGCATGTCTTTACCTTTGAAGGGACATAGATGTCATTTTCTATAGAACCTTGGTTCAAGAAAAGAAAATTTTAATAACTAAAATATTAAGGATATTAACCAATAATATAAAAGCAAAAACTATTGAAAATAATAATAATAATAATAAGAGATAATTTCAAATATAAACAATAAAGTAATTAGTTTATAAAAAATATAGTCATGTTTTATTTATATTAAAAATAGCCAAAAATTATAGGAAGTATATACTGATTATACACTATAGCTTTTCCAAAAGCCATAGAAAATATATATTGTCTATACAATATATATAGTGTATCAATACATGAGCTATACACTGACTATACATCATGATACACTAAAAAAACTAAATATATAGCTTAGCTATACACTGAATACACATGAAGTATAAATTGATTTTTAATCTCGATCAACACAAAATCACCTCTAAGCAATCTCATATTTTAATTTAGATACGAAATCATCTTGATGTTTCGAGTCATATTATATATAATTCTCTCGAAACAAATTCATGTTTACGGTTCGTTAAATTTTAAAGAAAAGGAATTGGGCGAATAATCATAATATACCTCATGTGATACAATATCATTTAACAATCTTGAAATGATAGAGGAAGCAACAAGAATTGGAGGTTCAGTTGTAATCCATTCGAATGCCTCTTTGGTTGCTTCATCCCCCATGCCTAACCAACAAGCAGTAGAGACATATGGGACAGTGCTAGTTTGAATTCCATTCATCATATACTCCTCCATTCTGGGGCCTGTGTTCCCATGATACCATTTTGCCTCTTGAAAATAAGCCCTCACCAACTTTTTCATCTGAAATTAATTTATTAATTATTCTCTCTTTATAAATAAATGACACATAAAATGGGACAGAGCTGCATCAGCGGAGTCAGGATGAGGAGTTTGGGGGTTCTAAACGATTCTGAAAGAAAAGATTGGTCGTACAGTCGTTTTGTTTAACATTTTCGGAAAGACCACCTATTTGTTCGTTTACCGGGTTCAGCACGAAATCATAAATAAGCTCTACCAAAGATTGCCAAGAATTTGGTTAGGACATTTTTTAAAAAAAAAGCATCAACTCTAACGTGAAAAACATTTTCATAACCCCTTTCTTCCCTACTAAAAACTCCTTAATTTATTTGTTGGATTATTAGGAGTAATAATTAATATCTATCACATAATTACCTCACTAATAGCAAAGTTGACTCGAAATGACTTGTTCTCCTTTGCCAACTCTTTCTCCACTTCATTGTAAAAATCTAGGAGAGCAGTGTAAACGAGTTTCATATACGGCGCTAGCTTTTCTGCAGCGTCGATGTTCCACCTATTGTATAAATAAAAGAGATTAACTTTTATCTACCGATAATAGTAGTGAATAAGAAAATTATATCGTCGATTTGTTTTTAGAAATACATATTCCTCTTAATATATCCACATATTGTATACGCATTAGGTGGAGTCATTAATAAAATTCTTACTTACACATTAGTACATGGAACAAATCTTGTAAGCCCTACTGTCACAAATATTGAAAAGATATATAGTTTAATAAAGGAAGAAATATTTTTAAATTTTGTGTCTATAAATATATCATAATATATGTATGGTTATAATATTTTGAAACTTATAATTTTAAATATTTCATAATTGGCTTTCTCATTGAGGATAAAATAAAAAGTTAAAGTAAATTCTTTAGAATTAATTAGTAGGAGTTTGATCATAGGATTTGAGACTCAAATTTGAAAATTTTAATTTATAATCTCGTATATATTTTGAATTGATGATATATTATTGTATACAAATAACGATAAAACTCTCTTTCCTAATAAACTAGAAAATATTTTTATTTCGTAATATTTTTCAAATTGAAATTGAATAAGCATTTGCTAATGTATTATTTGGTTTTAAAGTTAAATTGAAAAAAGCATTTGCTAATATATCTAATTTCTAATGAATGATTCAAAGTTATGATCTAAAACATGTTCAAATGGGCTCTTAAACTATTGTCCTTTGGATGGACTAAAAAGAAATGTTAGGAAAATAAACTGAAATGAAGATATAGTATTATAATTAATATTACCAAAAAAACATACCTTTCTATTGCGTTTGTAAGGAGAGTAAGTTCAGGCAGTGTTCCATAGATATCATAGATGTCATCAGTAATTGAAATGAAGCATAACACTTTGGTTAGTATATTCCTGACAACATTATATTGTGGTTCAAAGTACACACCCAAAGACCAAAAGTACATCTCAACCACTCTATCTCTTGCAAAAGGTAATTCATTTGCCACGTCCAATTCTTTCCACCACCTAAAATGTTAAGTTAAATCTCAAAATCTTTATTTTTTTAATAAAATAATGTTGTGATATTATTGATTGTGTATCTTGCTAGTTACCTTGTGATATCACATAGCTCCCTTTTATGCATCTTCTGCAATGTATTGAAGTCCAATTTTGCAAAAGTTAATATCACTTGATCACATGATTTATCTTCTTGGTAAAACGATATGTATTTTCTAGTTGCTACCCTGGCTATAGTTTTGTTTATTGGATACTTTAGGGCATAGCTGACTTGCATCGATAGAGAATTACTCAATTTAGGCAACAATAACTTCAAATGAGTGGTGGTGAAATTAATTGCTTCATCCAAAATTTCTTCATCATGTACTCTGAATTGTGCTGCCTCGTATAAGCTTAATAATCCTTGCATGTCGTTAACCAATGCTTTATTATAATTTTCTTGGTCATCGATGAACTTCCTAAAAACATCTGTTTCAAAAATATATATTCACACGCTAGTCTGTAAAAGTTAAAAACTCTTATCTACAAACAAGCTTTGTTCACATAAATTGGATGGGATGACGTATTACTTACCAGATGAGACATAGTAACCTTGTTGCCTAAGTAATCGAAAGCTTAGAGCGACAACATGAAGGTCATGGCTTTCACCAAATTCACCAATCCATTCTTCATAACCATTATAGATTTCACTCAATGATTCCTCAATCTCATGTTCAAAATGGTATGCCAATCCAAGCAATTGGATTGTGTTTATAAGTCCAAGTTTTTGCAAAGATTTGGAAGGAGAAATCACTAGCATTTTTCTCACTTCTTCTTTTAGATCCTTGTGTTCCTTCTCTTCCCATTCATTGGCTCCCTATACGCGTAAATAAATAACTTTGTATAGATATAAATTTCTTTGTGCTTCAATAAGTATTTGCAAACAGAATATGGCTCAAGAGTGTTTCAACTGAAAACAAAAGCATTCAATTTTTTATATTATCGACAGTACTGAATACATGTTAAAAAATTAAGAGTTTTAGGGTCGTAGGGGAATACATTAGGTCATATTTATTTTTATATGTTCTCGAAGATAACCTAACAAATCCCATATTTTAAAAGATCTTACCCGTAAATATTTTCATGTACCTTGAAAGTGTAAATTTTTTCTTTTTTTACTCAGCGACACATAAAATATAAAATCAAATTAAAACATGAACACATGTACTAGGCATTCAAATTTACCGAGAGATTAGCATAGGCAAGAAAATGATCTCCCCCAACAGTAGGATGATGATTGTCACTCCGACGTGTAATTTCGCTCTCACCACCAAATCCATCCATTTTTTCTAACTTAGTTTTTGTAGAGTTTGGAGTAGAGAAACTAAAGACGTAATAATATGCTTAATTAAGGTTTGATAATAGTAGTAGAAAGTAAGAGAAGTGAATTACATAAAGAAGTTTTGTTTAAGTTACTACTTCACACAGACATAAGCCTATTTATAAAGATTTAATTTAGTTAGGGTGCACATGAAATTTGACTACTCTTATCATCAAGAACAAAAATGTTAGTGGTGACTGTGGACATTGAAATTTTGTCGGTTTACTAGATGTGTTCAATTCGAGTTGAAATTTTACACAGTGACGGAGCTAGGATTTTCAAGAAGGGAGTTTATAAAAATCTGAAAAAATAGACACACGAATTAGCCGAAGGGGGTTCGACATCTACTATATATACCTAAAATATTATTTTAACCATGTACAAATAATATATTTTTCTGCCAAAGGAGGTTCGGATGAACCCCTGAATGTAAGGTGGCTCCGCCACTGATTTTGCATGGTATGTTCGATTCCAATTAGCTAGGATTTTTGGACACTATTCAACCCTAAACCCTAGTTCATGCCTATATAAAGGGTACTCGAATATTCCACAAATTCATGGAATATTCATAAAAAGATCAAATTTAAATCATCCTAGTTTGAGAAATACGCCACAAACGACCCTCGAATCAAGAGAGGAACATAATTGAACCCGCACTATCTATCAATAAAATTATGTTTCTTCATATTTTATTTGTGATTGCAATTTATTTTTGTCACTTTAAAATTTGTTGCAACTTGCAAGCAGTGACTATTTAGGGTGGCCATTATATTTAACTAATCCCAACTCTTATCTGCAAAAATGTTAGTGGTGAATATTTAAGGTGGCCAAGAAATTTGATAAGTCCCAACTCCCATCATCAACAGTAAATATGTTATAAGTGATGAATATTTAGAATGGCCGTACGAATTTGATCATTCCCATTTCCCTACTCCCATCATCTACAGTAAAAATATTTGGGCCATAAAATAAGCCGTTTTTAATAATAATGCACTTAAATTGGTAGGGGTGATTGCGGGGTCTATACCCATTAATGGGAAAAAAAATGCACCATCTTTTGTCTGATAATTTTAAAAGGTGCGCAAATTTTTTTGAAAAGAAATCTGCTATGTTGAACATTGGCAACCGATAAATTAGATAGGGTGCACATGAAATTTGACCACTATTATCATCAAGAGCAAAAATGTTAGTGGTGACGATAGACATTGAAATTTTATGAAACTTTAAAAGATGTGTTCAATTCGAGTTATGTCTATATAAAGGGTATTATATTTCCTTAAAAGGCATCTCAAATATTTCACGAATTCATGAAATATTCATAAAAGATCAAATTTTAATCATCCTAATTTGAGAAATACGCCACAAACGATTGTGAGGAACCTAAATTTGTATTCACCTCTGCTACATCACCTGAACCACTAGTAGTAGTACGATACTTATGGTTCTGAAAGATCCAAGCCCTTCCAAAACCGTATTAGTACATATTTTACCTCCTCCAGCATAGGCGCATCGTCGTAGAGGCGGTCAACCCATTTTTTATTTAGACTATCAATCATGCCGTTCCTCAAATTAAAGGAGGAACAAAATTGAACCCGCACTATTTATCAATAAAATTATGTTTCTTTATATTTTATTTGCGATTATAATTTATATTCTATCACTTTAAAATTTATTGCAAACAGTGATTATCTAGGGTGGCATCATATTTGACAAAGTCCCAACTCTTATCATCAAGAGAAAATATGTTAGTGGTGAATATTTAAGGTGGCCAAGAAATTTGATAAGTCTCAACTCCCATCATCAACAGTAAATATGTTAGTGATGAATATTTAGAATGGCCTACAGTTTTGATAAGTCCAACTCCCATCATCAACAATAATTAATTATGTTAGTGATGAATATTTAGAATGGCCTACAGTTTTGATAAGTCCAACTCCCGTCATCAACAATAATTAATTATGTTAGTGATGAATATTTAGAATGGTTGTACTGATAAGTCCCAACTTCCTTCATCAAAATTTTTTGACTCTGCCGACACAAAATATAAACTTAAATTAAAACATGAACACACTAGGCATTCAAATTTACCGAGAGATTAGCATAGACAAGAAAATGGTCTCCCCACACGGTAGGATGATGATTGATGATTGTCACTCCGATTTGTAATTTCGCTCTCACCACCAAATCCATCCATTTTTTCAACTTAGTTTTTGTAGAGTTTGGAGTAGAGAAACTAAAGACGTAATAAAATGCTTAATTAAGGTTTGATAACAGTAATAGAAAGTAAGAGAAGTGAATTACATAAAGAAGTTTTTGTTTAAGTTACTACTTCACACAAAGATTTGAATTGGTGGTGCCGTGGTGGTAATTAGTTAGGGTGCAGAAATTTGACCACCATCATCATCATGATCATAGACACTGAAATTTTGTAGGACTCTATAAATTTTATGGGACTCTACAAGAAATTTCGTGGAACTCTATGTTGAAAATTGGCAACCGGTTATTTAATACAAGATTTTTTTAAATCCATACAGACTTTAAAATTTGACGGATTAGGCCGAGCTGACCCATTTTTTTTGTGGGCCAAAAAACAGTCGGCCCAACCCACAAGTAAATGGGTTGCAGGCTGCGGGCTGTGCCGGGCCAACCCACTTTTTTTAAAAAAAATTATATTTTATAATTTTTAAATTAAATTATAAATTATAATTTAGAAATACTATCATCGATAAAACAATATTACACGGTGTTAATGTACTACTTGTTAATCAAATCCACAAATAAAATTATCTTTATAATATTTATAAGTTTGTTTTCAAGAAAAAGTATAAATGTCTAAATAGAAATATTAACTTAGTAGTTTTGTAATTATCACAATAAAACACAAAAAATATGACAATATTTCATCTATAAAAAAATAAAAAATGAACTCTTTAAAAATATTCATGAAACTTGTGGCGTATCTAACACTTCATGAAACTTATGGCATCTCCAACACCAAAACATCATCTTCATCAAGCATATCTGAATAAATTTTAAACAGATTTTGAGTTTGGACTCTTGTTATTTTTAATATTATATTTTATTTTTATTTGTCCCACGGGCCGGCTCTATCTATATTTCTCAAGCCTCACAAATCAACAAGTTTATCCAGGCTGAGCTAAAAACCAGTGGCGGATCCAAAAATTTTATTTCATGGGTGCTCAATTATTTTTAGTTTGAGAATTTCTATATAAAGTGGGTGCTTAATTAATACATTTGAATAAATTATTAGATATTACAAACAAATATTAGTGTTTATTGCAAAAAGCAATGGGTGCTTAAGCACCCATGATTCATAACATACATCCGCCACTGCTAAAAACCCCTTTTCTTAAATGAGCTCCAAAAATCTTAGTCTAGTCCTATTAAATCACAGATTAGGTCAGGCCGGTCCAACGAGCCTAGCCCATATTAACAGCTCTAATTTTCTGTAATCGGTAATTAAATGATGTGGGAATAATATTGTATTTCTTTATTTCTTTTTATTTGTTCAATTTTTCTTTTTTATCTATGCTTTTTTACTTGTTATTTTGACAAAGTAAGATAGAATAACTTTTTTTTTTTTATCTATTATACCCTCAATTTATTAATATTAAATTATTGTCTTTAATAAATATAGCTAGTAAAGATCTTTGGGATCCTATCAATTAATAGAGATAAAAATGATAAACTCACTATAGCAATCAATATTTTCTTGATAGGTGTGTTAAGACAAAATTTGACAAGTAAAAAGGGACCGAGGGAGTAATAAGTTATGTGAAATAAAAGAATGTTGTTTATTTAGAAAGTGTGGTAGTTTCTTGATACCATCAAGTTATAATCAATGATATTAATTACTCCCTATGTACAACAATAGTTGTCCACTATGTTACTTTAGGATGTCCAATAATACTTGTCCACTTTATGAAATCAATGACAAATAATAATTTACTGTTCTTTCAATTCCTCCGTCTTAAGAGAGATAGTTATGAAAAATGATGTCTACGCATGAAAGTTATTTTTGATTCTCAAGATATATATTAAGGACATTATAGAGAAATGGTATATACAAAATTCACTACTGAGGAAATTGTCCCAAAATACATCATTAAAAACAAGGAAGTAAGATCAATAGGGCCTCATGCTCATCCATCAGTGTTTAGATGTGTTTGGATGATGACATGGTTGAGAAAGCAGTTGATGCAACCATCTCAAAGAAAGGGAGATTTTGTAAAGTTTTCTACAAGGAATTGATAATGTGAAGAAGATAAAATTTTAAACTTTAAAGGCTGATTTTAAAGTTTTAAAAATGAGTGAATCTGAATACATTTTGAATTTTTGTTCAAGAGTGATAATTGTTTTGAATCAACCAAGAAGGCATGTATGGTAGATCTTCTCCTTTGCCCTTTTTAATCTAAATTTGATAGTGTGATGTGTGTTATTGAGGAGTCTAAGAGTTTAGACTCTACGACGATAGAACAATTGGAAGGTTCTTTATAATTCCACAAAGAAAATATGAAAAGGATAAGAAGAGCTACTGAAGCAACTTTTTAAAACTCAAGCATCCATCAAAGATTTGAAGGTGAAAAATGTTATAGAGAAAATCGACTAGGCAGGGCTGTGCGGTCCATACCTATTAATGAGGAATAAAATGCACCATCTTTTGACGAAAGCAAATCTACTCTGTTGAAAATTAGCGACCAACTAATTATTATTACAGAGAAAAATTGGCATTATAATTTCCATTTCTATAAATTGAGAGCTTCTGTTCATTTATAAAAAAAAATTCCACCAAAAATCAAAGAGAGCAATAAAGAGTATCTATAGATTTTTTTTGTAGTCTATAAGAAAATAGTGTGAGAATAATATTATGGTGAGTTGTGTGACATAAAAGAATGTTGTTTAGTTAGAAAGTGTGGTTAGTCTCTTGACACCATCAAGCTGT